ACTCCAACTTTCCACCATACCTTGTGAAAATCACCCGTAACTATCTCCAGCAAAGGTCGTTCAGGGTGTCGTTGAATAGTTCCCTTTCGGGACAATTTCCGATCCCAGCAGGTGTTCCGCAAGGGAGTCTGCTGGGACCACTGCTTTACAGCATCTACACGTCGGACATCCCTCCTCTAGGAGACGGTTGCGTGTTCTTTCTGTTTGCAGATGACACCGCGATAGCCGTCAAGGGTAGGATGCCTCGTGAAATTACGAACAAGCTCCAACGATGCCTTGACACCTTTACTGATTATGCCACCACGTGGAAAATCAAAATCAACGCCTCGAAAACCCAAGCGATCATGTTCCTTCACAGACAATCACCAAAACTTAAACCGTCTCCCTCCTGTACCGTAATAATGGATGGTACAAGGGTCGAGTGGTCCACTGATGTTACTTATCTCGGGATGTTGTTCGATGAGAAGCTCCTGTTCCGCTCGCACATAGAGAAAACCCTAGTTAAGTGCTCCGCCTTGGTTAGGTGTTTGTATCCGCTCATTTGCCGCAGATCCCGCCTCTCAAGGCAAAACAAACTGGCTGTTTACAAACAGATCATAGCCCCCGCGATCTTCTATGCCGCCCCGGTGTGGGAATCGTGCGCTCAGACCCACAGGAACAAAATCCAGGTTGCACAGAATAGAGTGTTGAGGATGATCCTAGATCGTCCATTCGACACAAGAATAGCAGACCTCCATCAAGAGGCAGAAATTCCCAAAGTAGATTCCAAAATTGATGATATGACAACTAAATTTATTCAAAAATGCAATCTTTCTGAACATGCTTTAATAAGCAATTTGTACATAGTAGGTTAAGTGTATATAGTAGAGTAGGTTAGTTTTAAGCTGTCAATAGTAGTATTAAGTAGTTTCTCTTCAAATTCTAAAAACAAAACAAACCAATCCCACCAAGGTGGTCGACCGTGTACTAAGTCTAGGACTAATTCTGTAAAACAAATTTTGAATTTTGCCCATACCTAAAGATGAAGAAAGCAATTAAATCACTTAGTAAAAAAAAAATTTATATGGTAATCGTCCAAGTTAAACTAAAATAAAGATCATTTAAAATAAACTAAAACTAAGTATTTTCCCAGTCAGGTATTACCTTTCGAATGAATCGCACTACTTGGCTGGGAACTGAATTCCAAATATCAAAGGGTTCTGTCAGCCCCTTATCCAGAAAAATACGCCTCTTATTGAAGATTGCTGTACAAGAGCATAGCAGGTGTTCAGAGTCTTCATTTTCTATGTCACATAATCGTAACATGTCCTCTTGAAGTTTTCCTATTAGCTTCAAGTGATATTTACATGGAATGCGTCCTGTTATTAAACGAGTGTACATACCTAGATCTTTCTTTGATAGTTCTAAAATTTTGTTAGTCATTGAAATGATCGGATTAATAAACCGTTTCGACTGCCTAGCAATGTGAGTGTTTTTCCAATTGGTCTCCACTTTCATTCACCGGATTTGAATCCAATGGACTATTTGGTATGGTTTATCTTGAAGTCAGCAGAGCCTGCAGATCCCCGCATAACTCACTGGAACATTTGAAAGCATCTCTTCTGAAGGTTTGGGAAGAAATATCTGAAAAAGAACTTGCGGCCATCGTGGATAACTTTCGGAAACGTTTGAAGGCGTGCATGGGTTGGCCATTTTGAAATGAACAAATGAGACAATTTTCTTCGATAAATATTACTACCATTACTACAGTTCAACACCATTTTGTTGTACGGATTATATTCGGACACCCTGTAGATTTTAAATTCGTCAATAAATGACTAAGCTATGGTTTTTCAAATATTGCAAACTTGACGTTAAGTATTTTACCGGAGGCATCGTGTTCGGAGTGTTAAGGCATCTATTGCATCTGGTATTAATTACCCTAATAAACAAATATCATAAACGAACTGTATCCCGGATGGGTACACTATCCCACAAATGGTTTGGATGATACCCCGAACACCTCGTTAAGCTCTCTTTTATGGTTATTTTATTAGCGTAGTTGATTCAACAACTGTAGCATTAATAGCATGATGTGGTTTTCAAAATTGATGTTAATTTTTTGATGAAGCAGTGGCGTCAGAAGTCCATTCATCAGCGACAAACAGATATTTTTTTTATCTAAATGCACAATACAAGTTTAGAAGAAGTAGTCATAGAAAAAGGCGCAGGTCCACCAAACCAATATTTTGGTCTAAGTTTACTTAAACATTCGTAATCCACTGGATACATAGAATAACAACGTCCCAACCACAACTTCTCTAACAAGCTTTGAATAAAGTAAAAAGTGAAACTCTTTCTTGCGTGACTAATGTCACTCAAAACACTTTTTCTCCACGGTTCGGGTTTTTTCGATCAACTTTGAAAAAGTTCAAAACGAGTGCGCTAGACACCGAGAATTCCACGTAAGCAAAGAAGCTCAAAAGAATGCGCTCGTGTTTATCGAAGTTGTCGGGCGTGTCTTTCCTTTGAGCAGTTCCAGGCCAAATAGCAATAAAAAATGTTTTGACTCAAGCGACCTTCTTCGATGTGCATGAAGCTTTGCGTAATTGATTTTTAATGGGCAATCATTCTCGTTTTTGTTCAAATTCGGCCATTTTGGATCTTTTTCTTTTTCAAAATATCGTCTTAGACATTGTTGCGGCTCACCATTTTTGAAGTGTTTTAGTTTACGCCTTTTGTCAAATAGCCGAGTGTCAAATGAAGGGCAAATCTTCTACACGCTATTTTGAGGCTACTCATTTTTGAGTCAAAAACGCCTCAGTCCAGCCAAAAAGGAAGTTACTCAAATTTGAGTAAACGTTCCTATGGAGAAAACTGGGTAACGGCTACTCAGATGATGACATTTATCAACTGAGGAAACCTTACCCATTTCGATATATAAATTATTTCGTCCAGGAAGAATATTTAAAAAAACAAAAAAACTTTGAAATGATAATTAAGTATTTGTTGATACCAGCACCAACTAGCTGGTTATAGCTTTCGCCATCCAAGCTATTACCAACCGGTGGAAACTAACGATTTTAAATTGGCTCACATTGGACTAGCCTATCGGTCCCAAGTACATCCATTAACGTACCAGAGCTGAGCCAAAAAGTTGAGCACGTTTCTTCGGAACCTTCTGGTCTTAGAGTTACCTTTATGCTATTACGAAGCTGCTTCATTTTCAGTGATTCACTTCAAAAAACTAATTTTAGACTCACTGCGCAAAAATCGCCTGTTCACAACTTCAAAGCGCACTATTTTGAATTTAGAAAAAAATGATATCAGAACCATTTACCCAGAATCTAAGTAGATTCCATTCATCGAAGCACAACCAGTTTACTCATTTTTGACAACTCCATACAGCAGGCAAATATGAGTGCGATCTACCCAGTCACTGAGTAGCCTCAAAATAGCGTGTACAGCAAAACAATACCCACATTGAAATCAATGAGTGATATATTTCTGTACCTTCGTACACGGAGAAGAAATTCTCATTACATTTAAATTCAAATAATTAATTGTACGAATATGATATAAAAAGCCAAAGTTTCCAAAAAATAAAGCACAGTATACCATTTAGACTCCGCAGAGGCACGCTGACTCTCGGAGACCATCAAATTGTGAGTTTCATTTTCACTTTGGATTTGCCTCAGCATTTCAACGGTTCCTAAATATCAATTTTGGTTTTATTAGGGTTCTGTAGACAATCATGTAGACTTATAGAATGCTATAAAACCTCTATAAAGCTTGCAATGTTACTTGGGTTGGAAAACTCTTCTGCGATGGACCACGGAACGAATTCACAACGTAGGCCCTGGTCAACACTGGACGAAACCGAGGGGGGCGACGCATCTAAATCTCAAGTTTAGATGCTCAACAAATCTCACAATAGCGAATCAATCTTCGAAAAATCTTCTTTCATTTGTCGCATCTACTTGCATCGCTCATCATCTTTTTGCAGGAAATCTTCAGAATCGTCATCAATCTTCTTTCTATCTACTCAGCATGCGCGCAGCTAGCCACAACAAAACACAATCTTTTTTGCATCGTAGATAGAGTCGTCCCCCTCGGACGAAACAGACATTTTTCAATAAATTGTAGCCCTACAACGTCACTTCTGATTGAAATGATGTCTGAGACAAAATTCTGGGAAAAATAAGGGAAATGACGGCTTCGGCATGACTATTTTCGGCAATCCAAATTGAAACGCTGATTTCACTGAATTTTCTTATGAAAAAACATTTCGTTGAATGCATTCAAACGATTCTTTAGGCTTTCAGCTTCAATTTGATTATATTTTTTACCACTGAGAAAAATTAATCTGGCAGGGTTTTCTTGAAATGAAACACACGCACTACAAAATGCTGCTGATTTCTAGTTGCCGATGAAAGCACAGCTGTTTAACACGCAGCTGGCAGCAAAAGATTGTAAATAAACCAATAGTGCATATGTGTGCGTTCCATAGAGAAAAAAGCTATAGAAAGCTGGTCACTGCTTAGGTTGCCGAGAATACGTAAATTCCCCTATGTACGGTATTTTTTTAATAATTTCAAGATACAAAAATATCGAAGCCCACAACACACAATTTTGCTAAGTTTCATGTAAATCGGAGAAGGTCGAGTTATATCGATTCGTCATTTAGCGTGGAACTGCTCCTTTAAAGTTTTCTTCTCCTTTTTTATTTTGTAAGACGTGAGAAACCGAGAAGTCAAACATTCTGCTGAGCAGACAAGTCAATAAAAAAAAAAAACAAGCAGTATCGAAATTATGGAGACGCCAGTCTGTCTGGATGAGCGGCACTCTCCCCTCTATGTTCCCCCCCACGAGTATAATAACGTCTCATTAATTTTGATATATTTATGTTCGACTTGATGCGAACGATACGGGCTCGCTCGATGATTGTTTCTGTTGACTTGGGCGGATGTGTCAATTTGGGATTGATTTATTAAAGTTTAAAAAATTATCAGCGGACTTACCCTATGCCTATCTAGTGGATCACCGTAAACGTCTCTCCCTCTCCTATATACAAGTTCGTCATATCTCGTCCTGTCTTCAGGAAAAATTAACTCTCTTATTTCTGTTACTAAAGTATGCTGCAAAAACAAATATAAAAAAAGGTAAGGAAATTAAGGAAGAATTCGTTTGAAGTCATGCCTTACCTTCTCGGGTGTATCTAACATTTCTAATAAAACAGATACAAAGGCCTCTATGGTCATTCCTCTAGCACCATATTCCGCTATATAATATGATAAGTTAGCAAAATGATGACGAGGTAATAAGGATCTGGCTTTTTCTTCTACCATCGCTGACACCGGACATTTTCGGCGGGTCCTGGAAAAAAGGTCGAAAAAGAAGGAAGAAAGAAAGAAAGAAGAAAGTCGAATGAGCAGATGTGACAATTGCTGGCGATGGCGGCGTGACCCGTACCTCACTCCAGTTGGACTGTAGGCATCCCACGGTTCTGGCTCAACGGTGGTACACGAGTGTGGCACTTTCCCGACGTCCCGCACCAGCAGCGACATCCGCTTGTGGAACTTGAATTGACTAACAGCCTCGTCATGGGTAACGTCCATGAATGATTGATTATTCACCTCTAGGATTTGGTCGCCGACCTGCAAAAAAAAAAAAATCACATTGTGGAATGGGACAGATGAGCGATTTCGGGGAATCGAGATTCCTCACCATCAGTCCAGCCCGATCCGCTACGCTGTCCTTGTCGACGCCGGTAATAAAAATTCCTAATCCGTACTCTACGCCACCCCTTATCATCAGTCCCAGGGATTGGCCGGGTTCTATCACTAGTTCAACTCTTCGAACACTGGGGGAAAAGAAACGAAATGTTATTCAAGTGCGGTAGATGCAAGGGCAACGATACTAGCAGTCGTAAATTTGTGCTTCACTGCAGTTGCAACTCCGAGATAAATGGGTTTCCGGTTTCCCATAAAGGTACCAGTACATACATGTTTACGCCATTGTGGTTCCATCGGTGGGGTGGGGTCATGTGTGGTTTATCTTTATTACTGCAAACCGGACCGGGCGATCTGAATGAGTGCACTACACGTTTGGTTAGGAATAAAAAATTCACGTGCTTCCGATCGGCAGGTGAATTTTAAGTACGGATAAGGAACAAACTGGCAATGATGACTGTGTTAATTGAATGCTGCAGAATTTGGACACAGTGCACAGCATTACCCAAATGTATTTTAGCAGATATGATGATGATGGTCCCACCTCTTACCCCTACAAAGGTTTGAGCTGGACGATTTATCTTTAAGATAATTATATATGACATTTTTACTAGGTTGGCAAACAAAATCGAACTGGTTGCAGTTACAGATATAAGAGTTTACAGTTGCTTCACAGCGATATAAATGTGGAAAAGCTCAGGCGTCCACCTCTTAGTCGCCTTTTTGTCCACCTAAAAAATTCATAATTGTTACAAGCGATCAAGAGTTAATGAACAATCAACAAAGCATCCTATTACATTAGCAACCCCGCAATCTGATGCTATCATAATTTTCAGCAATGTCAGGAATGCTCACGAACCCCCAACATTTGCCAAAAAACTTACTACTAACTCAAGGTATCTTTCAAATAAGCTTCAAAATTGCAATTTTTTTTATCAAACATTAAATTCAGTCCTCTATATCCGTAATACGCGCGCGAGGCTCAAACCTTTGAATACTATTTTTTTTACTACTACTATTAAATCAAATATCAAAAATCCAGCATCACCATCGTGGCGAACAAAATAGTTTTTGCAGTTCTACAATAATTATTAAAAAGTCGTTAAAAGAGCTATCCATACAAAATAATCCGTTAAAAATAACTTCGTCAAGATACATAATTTGTCAATTCATAAAAAAAATCACTGGATAACCGTTCAAAAGACAGTTTTAACGTGTGAAATGCAATGTCTCTTAAATTCTGCTAATGTTGTTGAACGTTTAATGTGTCTAGGCATCGAATTGAAAACATTTATTCCTTTAAAAAATATTGAATTCTGTGAAGCACAAGTCAAGAAATGTGGTGTTCTTATTTCATCCGCGTTTCTAGTATTATATCTATGATAGTCACTTCCTCTATCAATTCGATCACACAAATATCGAAGCCGCAAACCGTTAACTTCTTTAAAAATGAACACCATAGTCAAATATACAATTCTTTGCTTCACCGACAACCATTGTAAGGCGTCTAGCATGAAAGTTGAGGAAGTGAATCTATTACATCTCAAAATCAAACGTATTATTTTATTCTACAAGCGCTGTAATCTCGATATTTGTGTTGCATTGGACAGAAATAAAATGGATGGGCAAAAGTCTACATGAGGAGAGTTGATTGATTTGTATAGCTGTATTTTACTGGCAATAGTTAAATCGTTTTTCAATCGACATAGAATTTCATACTTCTTGGCAATTTTCTTGATGACATTGTCAATGTGAGAGTTGCACTTAAGTTTGTCATCAATAATCACGCCAAGATGTTTAATCTCCTGAACGCGATCAATAGTCTCATCATCAATTACAACAGAGACGTTCTCATTTACTCGATTCCGCGAAATTTCCATAAATTTAGTTTTACTTGTATTCAATTTTAACTGCTTACACTTCAACCATCTACTTAGATACTGCAAATCTTCATTCAAGTGTAAAACGGCATGATCTTAATCCTTAGCTGCAATGAATAACACAGTATCATCTGCAAAATGTGTCGCAAAATCGTAAAACACGTCGCAAGTCATTAATATACATAATAAATAACAGGGGCCCTAATACACTTCCCTGGGGCACTCCAAGGGTATTCCCCACGGGACTGGAAACAGAATCATTAAAAACAGTCCGTTGAGTTCTGTCAGACAAATAGCTTTCAAACCATTTATATGCAGTACTCGTAATTCCAAAACGCTTGATTGTACTTAACAGTAAGGGCCTAGAAATTGTTTCAAAAGCGCGTTTCAGATCCAAAAAAACAGCAACAATCGTATCTTTACGCTCCAAGTTGTCTTTTCACTTTGCTAACACCAAATTCAATGCAGTTTCACAAGAATGACCTTCCCGATATCCCGATTGTTCTGGTATCAACAAACTATTACTATTTAAATACTCCAACAGCTGGCCTTTAACAACAAGTTCTAAAATTTTCTCTAATGTGTACAACATGTTGATGGGACGAAACTCTTCGGCTTTAATCGTTCCAGCAACTTTTGGAATAGGGACCACTAAGGATTCCTTCCAAATTTGTGGCACATGTCCAGTTTACAATAATTCATTAATAAGGTCCAGCAAGATGTGGCCAATGACATGAAAGCAATCTTGAATAAATCTAGCATTAACATTATCTACTCCAGCCGATTTTCCTAATGAAAAACAAATAACTCTAAGTTCATCTAATGTGATTAGGTAAAAAACTTCAAATCTACAACTACTATTAACTGACTGTTTTATTTCGTCATGTTCATCGACCAATTCAATAGATTGATTAATCAATGAAACACTGTCTACGAAATAATCATTAAACTTAGATGCAATTACTTGTTCTGACTGTTCTAATGTGCCATTAAAAGTTATGGACCGCGGTTTGCAAATACTAGGTTTAAATAAAGATTTCAAAATTTTCCATAACTCTTTGCTGTTGTTTTGATGCTGATCAATCTTCCTTTGAACATATTCACATCAAATTTTCTTTATCGATTGTGAATACTTATTACGCGCCATTGTGTACCTAGTCCAATGATTGTCATTATATGATCTACAAAACTTTTTGTACCACTTGTCACTTTTCCGTTTAAGATGCAAAATATCCAAATTGTACCAGCTGTTCGAGTTTTTCAAAGAAACAAACTTTTGCTCAACTAGTTGAATGGTACACGTTTTCAAAGCGTTATTAAGAACAGCTGTAGGTTCATCTAAGTTACCAGCCGCGAATGGAAAATCCAGGCTTCTCTCAACAAGATTCGAAACAGCTTGCATCGAATATTTCCTCCAGCACTTCAATTTTACAAAATTATCGTTATCGTTAACATGGTCTAAGACATTAATCACTAAAGTCTCATGATCGGTTATTTTCAAATCAGTATCCGTAACTGAACAAATGGAATCAAAATTGGAATAAACGTGGTCAATTAAAGTTCTACTGTGCCTAGAAATACGCGTATACTCATTTACCGTTTGCTTTAAATTAAAAAACTCAGCTAAACGCTTCAAATGATTCGAATTATGGTTATCACGCCAATTAATATTAAAATCACCAGCCAATATATTTAATTTACTAGAATCAAGGAATGTCTCAAACCAGTTCTCTAAAACTTCAACAAAACGCTGGTCACTAGAACTGGGAGAATGATACAAAACACCATAATTACCCATCTTCATGCCACGTACAACTGTAATGCCCAAGAACCAGTTGCCATCAATAACTTCGTTGGTACGAAGGTTGAATTGAACTGATTCTTTGACATAAATAGCAACACCGCCAGTGTGTCTAGAATGTGATAAACAAGCAGCAACAATATATCCCGGAATACTATACTGGTCAAAAGCTTCAGTTTCTACAATATGAGTTTCAGATAATAAAACTAAAAGAGGACGTTTTTCCTCAACAATCTGACGTAATGCTACGTAGTTTGTTGACAACCCCGCAATATTCAAGTATAAAAAATCGAATTGATTCACATTCCTGGAACTTGGCTGCTATTTATTGAAACGCAAGCTGCTTTTCTTCTGATCAAAAAGTCTTTTATAGAGCAAACATTCCGAGCTAAATGCGGCATGGTTGACGTCCAAGTTCATTTTTCGTTCTTTATTCATTTTCAAACAATTAATACATTTCAATACAGTTGACGTACACTCTGACGTTTTGTGTTGTTGGCTGCACCTAGAGCGTCTATCGCAATTTTTGCAATCCATGCTCTTGTGCCCAAATTCTCCACATTTGAAGCATCTCAACACATTAATCGTGAGAACTATCGAGCACCGATCAAACCCTACATTTACTTTTTTCGCACATAACAAACATTTATAAGTATCGATATCGACTTCAATTACAACACTAAACTTGTTATAAGTGAAGCGTGGATTTTCAAACATGTTCACTACTTTTACATCATTAATAGCGATGTCTTCATTTTGACTTTTTAAGTAGCCCACTATTTTCAATCTTGGCACCGAAGTGGGAACAACAGCACTATATTTTTCACCCAGATTGCTTTCAATACCATTTATTATATCACTTACGTTTGCTCCTGTTGCACACTCAACAATAGTGGAGCCATCTTTACCATTCCTAAAATTACTGATTTTGTGTGTTTTTGGATCCAACTGAGTTTTCAAAAACTTACGAGTATCTTCGCAAGGTTGTTTGAACTCTTTTGGTTTAATCACAATGACCGGACGAGTCTTACGATTATCTGGTTTGTTACTTTTACTATTACTGTTACTATTAGTTTTACTTTAACTAACACGACTATGTCTTTTTACAACATCCGCAAAACTCGCATTTTCTTGAAAAACAACATCATCATCATGATCACTATTACTAATTACTAATTTACGTTTTTTGCATCTGGTATTTTGGTCCGATTCCGACTGAATCGTCCTAGATGAACTGCACTGATCATTCTTTACAGCTAATTGGTTTTCCGCATCAATTTTAAAAAATGAACTTTTCATATTATCCAATTTCTCACAAATTAAATTTTCAAGACCATTTACATTTATTCTAATATCTGCCATCCCGCTTTTAACCGCGATGTCCACCTGAGTAGCAATGTGATCTCGCATGCCAGTGATCGAGTCCGAGAGTTGAAAAACCTTTTTCATCTCTTCCTCTATCCTTTTGACGCGCGAGATCAGATCATTCTGCTCGTCACAACTCTGATCTGATAGACAACTATCACACTTGAACAGAATATTTGCATTATCTGCTATAAGCCTGGCCGCAGTCTTAGTGAGTGCCGCACAAGCGAAATGGAACGTTCCATTGCACGGACCTACACATGTAACTGGGAGCCCACTCATAGCAATAGACTGCTCGCATACATTACACACATCCATTTTACCAAATTAAACGCTAACACTGTTAGCAGCAGACATATACAGGGGAGGAGAACACAAAATAAAATTTTACCGCCACAGCTCACTATACAAAAGCAATAGCGCGCCGGGGGGAAAATACAAAATTAAACAAAAACTAGTTGCTAGGCAACCTTTCCTCTACTTATCCTGTTAGAAAAACACCACGGGCACGCGTTGAAATAATCCTTTCGTGGCACACGCCACTATTTCACACGAAATTATGAATTTATTTTCACAGCACAACTCAACTAAAACACTACTTTGTACGCCATACTACGTAATCCAAACAAATTGAAACCGATTGACGGAGGTTCATTTTCTTCTTTAATCAAATGACATTAAAATACTTTGCAACTTATTTTGCTCTTGAATATAATCAGTAGACCGATGCAAAATTTGAAAATCAACCTCCCAAAATTTGAACTCATTTAGTGAGAAACTGACTTGGCATAAACCATTTGAAGTTTATATGGGAATTACTATGGAGAAAGCATAATTTCGGTTCATATCGATCTCAAAATTCACCAGTTTACTGCCTCTTTACTTTAGAAAATGATAACTGAGCTTGTTAAAAATTCCTCAGCTACAACTTTGTTCAAGATCACTTTTCGATCAAATGTAAGGAACAAAAATTATTAATAATTCAAGTCACTTATGTCTTATGATTATGCATCAGAGTTCGAAATTTTCGCCTACTTGAGAAGAGAAGCGTCATTTTTCACCTGCTAGGAGAAATAGATGAGAATGTGAGAAGCGAGAGAATATTATACGCTCACAGCAGTTTTCGCGAGAAAAGCAACAGCGATTTATTTTTTTCGGAGAGCATGAGCGGCAGATAAATCGTTTCTTTTTCAGTGAATTCTTGATGCCGATAATGATTTTTCACTTCTTTCATAAGTGAACCCTACACGATTACTTTTATTGACAATAATCGTATTGTCAATACATTCTATATTGACTTCAATATATCGAGATTGACAATATTTCTGAATTCACATCATCAATATTATTGTCAATAACTCCCCAGTTTCCCTCGAAAATGCTTACTTTGTAGTCATTATTGAGTATTTTGCGGTAACCGTGTAGACTGTGGAATTTTGACGTCTTTGAAAGAGTTTCCAAAAAAGCTGAAACAAACAACTTTCCCGCATGAACGCGAACCATAACTTAACCATACATTAAAAATGTAGAAAATGGCTCATAATCCCTGCTAAGCATTAACTGAAATTAAAAGGAAAGTTTATGTGAACGTTTGAGTGATAACGTTTTAAACTTAAATATTATGGATTATTGGAACTGGACCTTAGAAATAATTGGTTGTTAAGAACCATTACCATTCAAAATTCTTGTTTTCCCATAAATTTTCGAAAAGAGAACTATATTAGAACCTTTAATTTACGGTTTAGCGACTTTGCAGTAAAATTAATTGTTTATGAGACAAGCAAGCGTTCTCTAATACACAACAATTGTCTATTAGGGTGGGAAACGGATTCGAAAATTAAATGTCATTAGTCAAATACATCCGTAGACCATGTAGGTCCACCGTTGTATAATTGGCAATGCACCCGTGTAATGAATGGGAATTGTGGGTTCGAATCCCCCCGGTGCCCTTAGATTTTTTTCGCAAATTTTCTCTCTCACACACACACACACACGTCTGTGTGCTTACCTCTCAGTACGTTCAAACTTTCTCAAAAACATATATTAAAACCTTTTTATTTATGGTTTGAGAACTATAAGGGTAATGGTTATGGTAGTTATTAAGGTCCATTTGTGATTTTGTAGAATCGGTCAACTTTATGTGTAATATATGGTGAATTGGTAGCTTTTAAATTAATGAACTTTATCACTCAAACGTTCATGTAAAGTTAATTAACCATGTCAGTTAAAGTTTAGCAGGGATCATAAGCCATTTTAACCATTGTTGTAATGGTCATGTTATGGTTTGCGTTTATGCGGGTTGGCGAAGAAAGTTTTTTGCTAGGATGTTTCTGTAAAAATTTAGCTGTAGCACCATCTGGACAGCGTGATCTTGAACTAAACTACATATGTTAAAATAAATTCCTTATTCACCCGACCAACTTTGCACATGACACCAAATCTCTAGGAGCGCTATGATGTTTATCCAACAAAAGTAGACTCTGCCCCAGTGTGCGGGGTAAGTAAAGTAAACGGTTTGAGAGGCTATACAGCGTAAATGCATTAAAGTACTTCGACGTACATACAAAGTACACCATTGTATCACAAACGATGTGCTCCGTCTGCTCGAAAACTTTGGTGACGAACCTGCTATTGCATTTTTTCAGTGTACCACATGGCAACACTACACACTAATCCAGTCAGTAAGGTTTTACTGGGTTTTTGAATTGCGGAACTGTTCGGTAAAACTTAAAAACATCTGTGGAAAATCCAAAAATGAGAAAATTTATTCCAAACTAGTGCAGACTTAGTTCTGTTAACTCCATTTAATGGTAGAAAATAAAATTTATCGGTGTAATTGATTCCGTACTGATAACGGTTATTTGAATTCGTACCGACTTTTTCAGCAATTCAAAAACCCAGTAAAAAAATACTGACTCCTGTAAAATAATCTAAGTGTGTACTACTGGATTGTACTAGCATTTTCACCAAATGTACTAGGATGTTTTGGTTCTATCTCCTTCTTTCTACTCAAAAATGAAATGCATAAAAAATGACGATATGATACACTCTTTGCACACTGTCAGAGATCATTGCGCACAAAATCAACTTTGTTCAAATCAAAACAAAAATACTAGTCCATCTGGTGGCTGATGGCACAAGCTTCTAAGAAAACTCTTTTACAGCGAATCACATTATTTAAATTGTTTTCTTCGCCAGTTAGTCGTCTGTCACTTCGTTTGTGGTATAGTTTACTATACGAATGAATTGTATTGATAAAAAAATATTGCATTTTTTTATAAAACCGCTTTAAAGCAGCCAAGCTGTACTTGTAGCTGTCATTGAACTTGGTATAATGCTACCAATATTGTAAAAAGCGTACTTTCCACCAGGGTTACTTCCACTCACTTGCTATAAAAAAATGTTTTTCGGAATTATGTAATCATGAAACAGTTTAATGCTAATTAGTACTTGTAAGTTACATGAAGAGATCATGAAGTATATGTTTGACACATAAAATCTGTCAATATTGCTTTCAGTGCGCCACAATCAGCGATTTTTCGACTCGTGAGCGCTCACTCTGAGTGAACGCTCACGAATCATAAGATCGCTGATTGTGACGCTCTCAAAGCAAAATTGACAGGTTTTATGGGTCAAACACATACTTTACTCCCTCTTGTTGTTACTTACAAGTGCAACATAGCATAATAACATCTAATGATTGCATAATCCCCAAAAAAATGTTTTCTAGCAAGTGAGTGGAAGCAACCCTGCACACTAAAGTACATCGATTTTTATTTTCACTTTTTGAAGCAGAGATGAGCTTCCTTTCTTTGATTTTTGTTTTGCTGAATTCATATCCTAAACCACTGTGCACTGCGTCTTGCACTGCCTTCTGGAAGCGCTACATTTTGTTGTTGGATTTCAAATCCCATTTAGATTAGTGACGTTTAGCGCACGCACACTAGCGGGTGCATCGCCAGGTAAAGTTGTTTATTAATTTCCTCTGACTAACCTTAAAAAATATATCACATTAGATCTGTCAAAGTGAGTTTGAAAGCTATTTGTTATGTATTTTCCTCGGATTTTCACTAACACGCTCTTACATATCGCACCACACCAACCGGACGTGAAAATCTCTATTCACCTCAAAGTTGCTACTAACTGACAGTCTGTATCGAAACACAGCCAAGCAAAACCACTCACCGATCCCGTCGCTCCGGCCGGCGGCCACCGTACTCGTACGGTGGCGAGGCGGGTCGCCCCTGGCGGTCCATCCAGGAGCAGGTTTGCCGGTTTGGGGGCGGCGGGTAGGCGCCCACCGATGCGCCACCGGCCCCTCCCGACCCACCGCCGGTCGGTCCTCCCACAAGGCCGGCACTCCCCAGCGGATCGGCCACGGCAGCCGCCAGTCGACTGGTGCTGCCAACCACGCTCGGAGGTGGCCCGAACCCGTGCAGCGGTGCGGTTGAGTTGATCATCGAGGTCCCTGCCGAGGGGGGCGCCCGGACGGTCATGCTGATCTGGCGCGACGATTTCAGGATCTGCACACATCTCTACAGTTTTAGGGTGAGAAGAAAAACGAAAAAGCAAACGTGGCAATAGAAGAGAGAAGAGTCTTCTAAATACAGGGATAGTGTTGTAGCTTGTAAAAATCAGAGAAGGGGTGGTAGGGCAATAGGGGTGCTAGGGGTGGTAGTTCACATCTACGAAAATGGAGCTTGTTTAGAAAGTGAGGAAAAAAACGAGCACTAGGTAGAAGGTAGGCGGAAATAATAGCAATACATTTAGCGCGGTTTTAAGAATGCACTTGAAAACACGTAAGCTAACTTACTGAAAAGGAAATGGCGGGGATTCCAGCAGGGTAGGGGGTTTTCATGCACAAGTAAATTGGGAATTGTTGGAACGTTCAATAAATCACCCGCCATGGAGTGGGCGCACTACGGGAAGTAGCCATCGGAACACGATTAGTCCATTTGTTCTGAGCAATTATGGTGTGCTACACGAGTCGGAAATTTAATAACTTTCGGATGCATGCCTGAATTAAGGCTTTTTGCCATTCACTTGTTGCATTTTAATACTGATGATCGAATGTGTTGTATTTTTCGGTCTGTATCTCGAACATGAAAGTAATCCTACTACAATGGTTCACTATATAGATTTTGCTTCACCAAGCTCAATGGATTTAAAATCAGGTCATGACCATTCCCTTAAAATTTGAGCTCATTGGGATGTGAACTCATACTGCACTGGCCTTCAGATATGGGAATTACTAAAGGAAAAGTGAACTTTTTGTTCTCACCATGCTAGCACTTCGCCATAATGATGTACGGAAAAGCTTGTGAAATTTTATCGCCTACTACTTTACTACCACTTTTAGATTAGACTTCAAGGTAATTAGTCTGTCACTAACTTTCTGATATCATTGATCTACTGCTTTCAGGGCAACACTGAATCTTGCACTTATGCTATAGCTGCAATCTTGTAGTGCAGTGTTGCCTGCTGAGCAGTTTATGGAGCATGTCACAAGAATATCATCATACTAATTAATTAATCACTAATTATCCAGATGTTCAATTAAAAGCTGATATAAATCAAGTTTATTCATATATCATTATGGTATAAGGTTAGGACGAGTTGAGATTACGATGAGAACAAAAGTTTTACTTTTCTCATAGTAATTCCCATATAAACTTCAAAGGTCCAGTGGACTAGCAGGACCGGATTTTAAACCCATTGAACTGGTGAAGCAACCGCCCCAATAACCACAAATCTTTGCAAATGAAAATTAAAAAAGAGGAATTAATTCCAACATTAACATGGCGATGCGAATGTCTGCTCTTATTTTATGAATTCTTTTTGGCCAATTCTATCTTTTTCACAAGCTCGTTCCCATGAGTAGTCTGTCTTGATGCCATTACCGAGTAAGTACCTACTTCCACTTCCATCTAGCTCTTAAGAATGTGGTGGATCGTAGTTGAGGTGATAGAAACTACCATAGACGTATGCAGGTAAGGATTAATTTTAAATAGTCGTAAATTCATAAATTAAACAAAGACATCATGACCAGGGCTCTACAATTTCGAAGCTCTAAAATGAACTCGTGTTTTGTTTCTCTCATACATACGTGTTCGACGCTTCATTTCTATAACGCCTAGCTAGACTATCAGCAAGAAACGAAAATAAAAAAGAAGGACGCTTGGAAGGAAAGGCTGGCTGTGGAACTTCTCGTCGTTGCTTTGCTCATCGCTTTCAATGTAAATAACGTCGATTTTCTAGTTAAACGAACTTCATTATGGCTTTCAATCCCCTTTCACGAACACTCTATCGCCGCTCTTTCAATTTGTTTAAAATGCGTTATGTCCCGTTTTCGATCATTTTTTTTAGATAAATATATGGATTGAAGATAAATTAGAAATATGACGTGTAATCTTCAAGTGTTTTGACGTGAGAAATGCTTTAAATGTGTTATTTCATTTTCCGTCATATACGTCATGAAACCTCTGTTGATGTGTTTCATGAAAGAGAAAACTATCAAAGTCGAGCGCTCTTTCGCTCATCCATTTCGACGAAGCTTGAAAGGAAGACCAATGGAGCGACGGGAGAAAGAGAGACAAGCGATTGAACATTTGTTTGTGCACGCCGACTGAGGTTCTAGAATGCTGCGAAGCTGTTCGACTTTAACAGAAAAAGAAAGCCAGCAGTCTCTTCGTCGCATCGATTTGGTCGATTGAAGCTGATATTGTGACGCCCTGATCATGACAGCAATAAAATATCTAGGGGTGGGAGCATCCATTATTGTAATGCTTAACAGTTTGCGGGCGTTTCATAATTTTAAGCTCTGTTTTTACCTTTTCTTTGAAACAAACTTAATTATGATTTAGATATGATACGAGTAAAATAGGTTAATTAGGCCGGAACAAATCTCAAGTTTTTCTTTTGTCAACCCCCCTCCCCCTCCTGTGAAAGTTTGGAATTTCACAAAGGGGAAAATTAGAAAAAAATCAGTGTATATTTATTCGCTATTTCATTTGGGTATGGATATTCGCTTTGCTAGATTTTATTATGTTGTAGAATATTATCCTTCACAGCTAAAAAAAAGTAGTGTATATATCCGTTACTATGATGCACATAAATGGAGCGTCATATATCATACAAGTTTAGATTATAGATCGTGTAAATTTATGAGACATGTCATGCAATATTCCATATATTGTATGCAACTGTCCACTTTTGTTTGCAACATTTCTTGCAAGCTGCTAGCTTACGTGAAAAGGAAGTTTACATGCATGAATGTTTGCATGCATGGATGTTTACATCGCCAGTAAAATTCAGAATTTTTTGGTGTGTTGTTCTTCTATAGATTTTTTACTTAAATCGGTACTAGACCGGTACGGCAGAAAAGGTCTTTGAAATCAGATCAGCCGGTTGAGTTGTTGAAAACGGATTTGATCGAACTCATTCCTAATCTTGTTTAACAACTCAGGTGACATCTTTCAAATCAGATTCAAAACTGAACCGAATAAGTCATCAACACGTTTCTAACTGAGTTTAAACCTTTCTGTTATGTTATTCAATCCTTTTTAAAGTTGTTAAAGCTTTCCTGAAGTGATCCAACATATCCCGATCCTTTAAAGAATTAGTTTCGGATTTTGTGGTGTGATGCCACATAAGCTGATTTAATCTCTTTCCTAAATGAATCCTGCATTGATTCAACTTTTTTCAAACTGAATCCAAACTTGTCAAGACGGGTTTGAAATGTTCCTAAGTGAGCCCCAGATTTTTGTTAACTGTTTTGGCATTTGTCAAGGACACAATCTTGTTTAGCTTTCCTAAAAGTGTAGAGTTTTCCGAAATGAACCGACACTTTTTTTTAGCTTAAATTATCAAACTGAGTCTAACCTTTTCTTAACTTGTTCAATACCTTCCTTAGGGAGTCCAAACTTTTCTGTTGAGTGATAGAATTATATTTAATGTTAGTCAAAGCTTTTTTGAAGTGATTCAACTAACTTTTAACGTAGATCCCGCATCCATTGACCCCTTCCTCGTTCTTGTGAGATTCACATTCTTAGAAAATTAGGATGAAATTTTAAAGAATGGACCTTCATGTGTTCATACCAGGTGGAAGATTTTTTTAAGCAAGCACAATTGTTGAGAAAACTGGGTTTATATCCACAAAAGTACGTATTTTTATAGAAATTTAGGTTTCTTGATCAGCCAAGTGGGATTTTGCCTCCGTCCTTTGGTCCTTCAAGAAGTACTGAATATGGATAGTCCAAGAAACTTCAGGAAAGTTTAGTAACCTTATGACAAATTTTGGGAACTTCACAGAAGATCCAAGATATTCCCGGAGATCCAGAAAATTTCTGGCATGCTAAAGGATCTTTATGTCGGTTCCATTTACAGCTTTCCCTCGAAGAACGCGTTACCCACTGAGTTGCACCAACCGCTTTTTCTCGGTGGGCTTTCAACCAAGTGCTCTGATTTTCTGTGAGTGACTAGTTCATCCCTACTCACATGCAAAAAATCAGACCGACTGGTTGAAACCCCGCCGACAAAAAGCGGTGGGTGCAACTCAGTGGGTAACGCGTTCTTCGGGGAAAAGCTGTAAATGGAAGCGACACAAAGATCCTTTAGCATGTCAGAAATTTTCTGTACTTTCGGGAATATCTTGCATATTCTGCGAAGTTCCCAAAATTTGTCATAAGGTTACTAAACTTTCCTGAAGTTTCTTGGACTATCCATATTCAGTACTTCTTGAAGATTCCCGCTATTTTATTTGAATCAAGTTCTCGAAATTAACTCATGGAACTTCCCCAAATTCCACCGAACAGTTCATTAAGTTGCCCTGATGTCAATGGAACTGCCCTAAAGCTCCTTGGTCTTCACAGAAGTGAATTTTCCTTAAATCTTTGAGATTGCCCCGAAGCTATCGGTACTTATCCTTGAAGTTCTTCGGGGGATAGCTGTATTTCAGAGCAGTTCTAAGAACATGATCAGTAGAATAGAAGACACATCACGGAAGCTCCGTAAACTTCAGGGCACTCCCATTAACTTCACAAAAAGGTCGGAAACTTAATAGAAGTTCTGAGAGATTAATGAAAAAGCCGAGAAATTCAAATAAGTGTCATAAACAAACCATGGGATCGAAAGAAAAGATCAGGAAACTTTGGAAAAAAAAACTTGAGGAACTTCGGAAAAACTCCCAGAATTTTATGGTGGTTCCATTAGCTTAAGATTTTTTTTAATTATTTTGACAGGCGAATTGCGGGCAGCTAAAAGATGTTCCGGAAATTTTACAAAAATCCAAAGACTTCCAGATTTCCAGATAACTTCGAGAACTTCACAGGAGTCCAGAGAATATCAGAAAAACCAGAGATGCACAAGCCGATGGCTGAAAGTCTCTTTAATAAAGAAAAATAAAGATAAAGATCAGAAAAACTTCAGTAAATTCATTTTTCGAAGAGTTCTACTTCAACTTTCATTTCAAAATTTGGCCTATTCAATTCTGAGAAAATCAGTAATGAAAATTCAGTGTGAATTTTGTAGTGTTATA